TCCCTGCCATGGCTTGTGCCGAGCAGCCTATCAAGAAGCGTCGGCTGTACGAGTCAATCCCTGAATCTCAGCCTCCTCCACCGCGACCGCGAATCGAACTTTCGTCTCCTTCTACGGTGACGAGCTCGTTCCCCGCGCCGGTGACGCCGCCGCCTCCGTCTCAAGAGGAAATTCAAACCAGAAGTAAGAACAGAGAAGAGATTCGAAGAGTGCATGAGTGTTACAAGCGTCTCAAATCTTGTATTTCTCAGAGAGATGTTGGCCGTTCTGGGATTCTCGAGCAATCGTATCGCTCCCTCATCTCCGCTTCCAGAGGTTTTTTTTTTTTTTTTGTAGCCCTCTTTTTCGCATATTCTGTTCGATTTAGTTTTAGCGATAGGGTGATTGTTAACAATCTGCCATTTTTTTGGAGTTCGATTTTGTTTTCCGTTTGAGTCTTGTGGTTTTGGATAGCTTTGTATGAGAAAGGGATCTTCTAGTCCATTAGCTCTAGCATAATGACTTGTGTGTCTGAAATCTTAGTCGTTAAGGAGAAGAACACAATGAGAATGGGATAGATTCATTCTCTCTGCTACAAATGTGAAATCAAAGTATAAACCCCTTTTAAGACGACTGTTTTGGTGGAGTCTGATATTGTTCCTTAGTATGCTGCTGCATTAAATTGTGTGTTTGTAGTTAGAATATCACAAAAGTTATTGTTCTAGAGTCTCCTGGCTGGAATTAGATCTCTCAAGTATTCTTGAAGCTTGATAAAGATATGTATATGCTGGTCAGGGCTTCTCTTTGGTGCCCATATGACACTGTTAGCTTTCATGTGTTTCTTTTATTTAATGTTACTCTTTACATAGATTCCGTATGTATATTCGGTTAAAGAACAGTGTCAGTACTTTAGGGTTTTATTTATTTTCAGTACTTGAGGAAAGCCTGCTCTTGTGGGGCTTAATCTAGTGTTCTATTCATATCTAAGGTGTGGTGTGGTGTGGTGTATAGTTATGTGTCAATCATTCTATTTGAAGAAAACTAGTGCGATGAATGACAGTTACAAATTTTGGTAGTCCTTAAGGTAGAATTTGCAATTGACCTGCGGAATTTTTGGATTGTTTGAAAATTCGTACCTAATTTAAACAAAGGATGCCAATCTCTCGAGAACACCTCCTAGAGTGATACGCTGTTACGGAATAGAAGCATTAGAATGAAGTTTGTTGGACTAATGATGTAGTTAGTTGCTTGTACTTGCAGGTTGTGCTAGCGTTAAGCGCCTTGTGGCTGATCTTGTTCCTCGATATGCACTGTACTGCCCTACTGCTATTGGAGATGCAGTGCAAGCTGTCATCGACATGCATAACTTCAGCTTGGAAGCAATAAAGAGAGGACAAGATGCTGATGGTGTTTCTTATCAGACTGCCAAAGCCTGCATATTTGGTCTAGTTGACCTATGTTCTGCTGCTTCTTCAAAGACAGCATCGTCAGTGGGGGCTCGGGATATCTGCTCTGCTGTGTTCAGAAATGTGTTAACGTTCTTTGTGCTGTCCTTTGAGGAAAAAGATGTCTTCCAGATAGTTGATAAGAGTGATTTGAAGGTGGAAGATCCTGATGAATTTTTTTCTCAACTGATGCAAAAACTTAGAGATGGAAACTTGTCAGCTTTGATCAAACTACCCCAGTTCTGTGTTTTAGCTTTACTGAAACTATTCTTCTACTTCCCTAAAAATTCAATTTCCACTTGTTTTGGTTTCTTCAATTCGTCATCGATGGAGGATGTAGCCACGGGGAGGTATCTCATTACTAATATGACAGACAAGATTAATGATATTGATGCTGCTAGTAATGAACCTGAACGAGCTGAGAATTCTGGTCAGACAGGTTCTAACAAAATAGAGGCTACTGGTAAGAATGTGGAAGGGTTGAGTGAGACCCAAGAAGCATCCCACATTCTAAAGAGCTGCTTGTTAGGAATGGTAATACTCTGAGTAGTTTAGAATCAATTATAAGTTGCATTTCCTTTTCCTGATTGTTTCTTATTTATTCCATGTCTTAAGCATGAACCGTGCCACTTACTTCATTCGCTTGCTCTTTTCATGGAACTTTGTATGTCTAAAGTGTAATGGGTGTATACTGCCAAAAACCTGATAGTTTCATGAATTCTTCATGCAGGTTCTTAGGAAGAATCCCTCTATAGGTAGGTGGGCCTTCTTTAAGTATAGGAATATATGCAGCCTGTCATCCTTTGTGGAAGCATCCAGCGCTATCCCTTCTCTCGAGGGGATTTTTGGATATGTTGGAAAAGATATCAAGTTAGAAGACTGTCAAATGGAGAGTGACGAGGATGATAATGGAAAATTATCAGCTTCACTTGCAAAACCTCACAGTTCTGCAGAAAATGATGTCCGCTCTAGTGCTGGGTCGGTTTATGATGCTGGAGGTTCAAGATCTATGGATTTTGAGACTGTTGACCAGAGAGACTTGTCATGCGGTAGGTCTTCGGTCCCAAGGGGATTAATGAACCATCAGACACCATCTCCTTCTGCAAGAATGCATTCAGATTTAAGGAGTAACTCTGCAGATGGTAGGAACAATTTTGTTCTTGCTGGATCACCTGTTTATCAGGCAGCACCCCGTGGCCCTTCATCAGGAAAAATTGTTTGGTATTTGGATGGGGACCCCACTGCTTTTGACATTTTTCCGGCTTCGGGGCAGCTATGGTTAGGATATTTAGGACCAGATGAAACTGAAGGTCATCTAAGGTTTCAGCTTGATAGGTATGGACCAGTAGACCGATTCTTTTTTGATCCAGTGAAAGGATTTGCGCTAGCGGAATATAGAAGTATAATTGATGCAATCAGAGCTCGAGAATATCTGCGAGGGCAATTTCCTTGGCGCATTAAATTTATGGATATAGGAGTTGGTGCAAGGGGATCTTTGAATGGGGTAGCATATGGTTATTGTACCCATTTGTATATTGGAAGCATCTCTAGCCAGTGGGAGAGGGATGAAATTGTCCATGAGTCACAGCAAGCCTTTTATAAGGGACCTCGCATGGTGACTGACTTGTACTATGAACATGCTCTTCTGATGGAGTTTGATACACCTGATGACGCTGCCATTGTTATGGCCCATCTCAGATTTTTCCGTGGAGAAAAGAGTAAATTTCATTTAGCATCAATCAATCGTCCTTTGCCTCATGAAGATGGAGGAAGGTTTGTCTCCACAACTTCGGAACTATGTTTTCTTTGATGATTTTGAACTGTTGAAATTTTTAGTGGTATTTAAATATCCATTAGACTTTTCATCTTCTCAGACACACTGAAGCGTCCTGAATTTTTTTGGGATGTGTATGCACAGAATTTTTTTGTGTCTTTGGTTTGACGTAGATGTTTCTTGTCTGAACAGTCATCCAGAGAGGCACCTTCAAATACCTCCTACATCAAAACAGGATAGTGGATCAGGGGAATATGTGTCCCCCTTAATGAGTACGGATCACCACTGTAATTCTGTACCTCCTGGAGCTATCTTTCAGCAAAACTGGCCTGCTTCTGGTAGCAGTCTTGTGAATTCTGCACAAGGTGGTTAATTTTCTATCTTATCTCTCCTGAATCATGAATGGTTTTTTCCCTTGTGACAGCAAAGATTTGTGTAGGACTCTAAGATCATCATTTTTCAGTATCAGGAAATCCTTCATGTGTGCCCATGCCAGCTCCAGGACAGCCTGCTACACCGACATCTCAAATTCCTCCATCTCCGTTTGTTCAACAACCCATGTACCCTCCTCCAAATAGCTCTTGGGATACAAGATCTCTAGGCCACCAAATCTCTCCAAGTGGTAATGCATTAGCAACATCATCACAGGCTCATGGGCCTCCATCGCAGCAGGTTTCAGGTCCATTCATGCCGCCTCTTGTGCATCCAGTCCCTCAGACACAAGCTCAGACACAAGGACCTCAAGTTCAGCATTTTGATCAGGTGTATCCACCTCCGCCTTTTGGACATTCATTATCTTCTGTAACTCAGCCACCACTACAACCTCAATCTCAGCCACCAGAAATTATGCCACCACCGCCACCAGAAATCATGCCGCCTCCGCCTCTAGCTCCACTACCTCCTTTGCCTCAGTCACACCCATTTGTTCCTCCTCCTCCAATTTCTCCTTCCTATCCCTCATCCTTACCTCCAACGGTCACACAGTTGTCTGGATCGGAGGCTCCCAAACAGAACATAGAGCACCATTGGCAGGGTACTTTGTCCAAAAGTGGAGTTCATTACTCCACGATCGTTGCACAGAGATTGGAATCAGATATATGCAAATATATCAACGGATGTTCAGAGCCTGTGCAGTGAGTTACACTACCTCACTCTTGTTTGATGCCTTGTGTTCAAATTGTGTCTTTCTTTATATATAATCAAGTGATGTGCTACAAGGGTGAACATCCGTTTCCTGTCTTTTAACTTACTGCAGATGGCCAGTTAAATTGGATATGACCAAGCGCACAGATTTGAAGAACGTAAAATCTACTTTTACCAATACTCAGCCACACAAAGTGAGTTTCTGGTCTTTGGTTCTCTCTGCCATCTACAAATTGTCGACTCAAGTTATTTTTCTTAAAATTTGAGGAATTTTGCTTTGCAGAGAGAGATTTGTCAGTTAATTCCCGCAACTGTCAGCGACCGTAAAGGGGTAATAAACCTTAAATACCCTGAAGAATCAATTAAACGTACAGAGCGCCATTATCTCTTGCTGTGTAATGTAACTTCTTAAAACTGACTCTTTGTGGCAGCTCCAAGATTTCATAACATACTTGAAGCAGAGAGATTGTGCGGGAGTGATAAAGATTCCTGCAGCAAATCCCATATGGGCAAGGCATCTCTTCATTCTTCCCTACTCGCAAGAAACATGTTCCTTGCTTTCAATTTCCCCTGCTTCCTCTGAATGCTTGATCGGTTTGGTTCTGCCCAAGGAACCAAATGCTGAGTGCTCGTGACATGTATACTGATGTATCCAGAGACAAAGAAGAGTAAATGAAGACTTATAATTGCTTTTGTGCTTAAGATAGTTCGGAATCACTTTGTAAATGAACATACTAGTGTTTTA